GTGGCTCAGTGACCGTGGCTCAAGTGGCTAAGGTGCCAGCCACATACACCTAAGGTGGCAGGTTCAAATCCAGCCAGCCAGGCAAAAACAACGATGGCTGCAACAACAACAAAATAAGTAGCCAGGCATTGTGGTGGGTGCCTGTGGTCCCAGCTACTTGGGAGGCTGAGGCAGGAGACTCACTTGAGCCCAGAAGTTAGAGGTTGCTGTGAGCTGTGAGGTCACAGCACTCTACCCAGGGGGACAGCTTAAGGCTCTGTCTCAAAAATAATAATAATAATAATAATAGGTAAGAACTGAAAACAACCCAGGTGTCCATGATCAGGAAAAGAGATAAATGGTAAATTTGTACAACCATACATTAGAATGATGAAAAGGAACAAACTACCAATGCGTGCAGCAATATGAATGAATCCCAACAAAAATATCCTGAAAGAAATTTTACATAAAAAGAGTACATAATGCATTATTCCACTTATATGAAGTCGTAGAATGGGTAAAATTAATCCATGTTAGGAAAAATCAGAACAATGGTTACCTTTCAGCAGGAATGGCTGGGGAATGAGAAAGAAAATGAGGAGACAGTAACATCTGTATAGTCTTCACAGGGCTTTTGGTTAAAAAGAGACAAGTATTTGTCAGAATTTACTGAACAATATACTTAAAATTTGTATATTTTGTTGTAGGTAAATTTTATTTAAAAAGAAAAAATTAAACTGAACTTTTAAAGTTATTGATATGTCTGCTTAAGTGTTTAGAATAGTAAGGTATCATCTATAGCATCTATTTTGTAGATATATGCATTTTCACTGTAAAAGCCAATTTTTCTGTGAATAAAACTGTTTGATAAGAGCTTACAACCTTTATACAAGGCACTCTGGCAGTAAAATACATGTATCAAGTCTTAAAAATGTGCCGAGGCTGGGCACAGTGGCACTTGTCTATAGTCCGAGCATTTTGAGAGCATGAGGCCGTAGGACTGCTTGAGGCCAAGTGTTTGAGACCGTCCTGGCCTACATAGTGAGACTTTGTCTCTACAACAAAATAATTAGCCAGGGACAGTGGTATGAGCCTGTAGTCTTTGCTTCAGGAAACTGAGGCAGGAGGGTTACTTGAGCCCAGTGAGTCTGAGGTTGCAATGAGCTATGATCACACCACTGCACTCCAGTATGGCTAATAGAGCAAGAATCTGTTTCTCTTTAAAAAAAAAAAAAAAAAAAGTACATAACTTTCATCCTTGCAGTTTTATTTATAGGGAGTTGATCTAAAAAAAGATCAAATACACAAAATGCATGTGCTAGTATAATATTAGAATATCAAAACACTAAAAATGAAATTATAATTATGAATATATTGTGGATCACTGTACATTCACTTTTATTCAATTACAGAGACCTGGACACCTTACTCATAAGGAAGTGATTCCTATGTGTAAGGAATCAATCCATATTTGATTCTTAAACTTCCTTCAAAGTTCTTCATTGCGTTTTCCACGTTGGCTTTTCTCTGATATTCCAATATCTTTAAATGAGAGTACAGAAACCAGGAAATATCATAACAAATTCAAAAAGCAAGTTATAGAACAGTATACATAGTATGAATATATGTACTATAAAAAAGGGTATATATGCACACATACAAAAGGTCTGAAAGTTATATAATAAAATGCTAATAGCAGCTACCCTGGCCTGGTTGAGTAGCGGGGCAGGGAGGAGATATTTTTTCTTCTGTCTGTGAATTACATAGTGCTAAATCAGGTGATTGAGTTGTAATCATGTAATATAAGTATACTCGGAATATAATTAAATGTATATTCAGTGACAGCATCGATCTATTCATTCTCATTTTGAAGAATTAAAAAATCAGTCAGGAAAACAAAAAGGAAACACAAAGAAACAAAAGAGAAAGTAGAAAAAAATGAAATTCCTTTTTTTTTTTTTGAGACAGGCTCTTGTTCTGTCACCCAGGCTGTAGTGCATTGGTGCAATCAGCTCACAGAAACCTCAAATTCCAGAGCCCAAGTGATCCTCCCACCTCAAACTCCAGAGTCACTGGCACTACATGTCTGAGCTACTACACTGGGTTAATTTTTTTTATTTTTGTAGAAATGAGGGTCTTGATATTTTGCCCACTCTGATCTCAAGGTCCTGGCCTCAAACAATCCCCTTGCCTCAATCTCCCAATGTGCTGGAGTTATAGATATGGGCCACCATGCTCAGGCTGAGATACCTTAATAATACGGTCATAAAAATAGGATATGTAGTGAGACTAAAAATTATACTTAATGGCTTATAGCTTTAATTTTATACTGAAGAACTGCCTGCTAATGATAGCAAGTGCTAGAATATGGCCACAACTTATTGAAGTTCATATTAAGTGCCTCTTAAATTCAAAATAAAGGGGGCAAAAATGATAATAAAGAAAATCACCTTGGGTGTTAAGAATTAGAGAACGACAGTGACCTACGTATAGGGGTAAATTATTCTAGATACTATGTCAGTAACTAGTGATGCTGGGGTTAAAATCTCATTATTTTAAAAACTATTTCTAAAGGAAATCCTAAAATAAAGTACAATTTTCATATATCTACCTAACACTAAAGTCGGTGAAACAAAGTTTCCAAGTCAAATATACCAATATTCCTCTCCTAAAGTTTACCTATAAAAACGATGAATCCGCAGCTATAAATAATCAAATAAAGAGGTAGGACACAGCTCTTCTTTACAGAATAATTCTAGTTAATAAATGTCAAAGAAATGAAGAAAACAGAAAAATCACCATTAGACAAATATCAAGCTGTAACTGCTGCAAGAAAGATCTAGTAATGTATGCTAAGATCAGCAGGTAAAAGCTTCAGGAGAAACAATATTTTCACAATCTCAGGGTATCTCTTATAAGATCTTTATTAAGTACCAAGGAAAAAACTGATAATTTTACAGTAAAGCAGCCCAGAAGAAACTACCTTATGCAAGTGACCATGGTTAACATCACTAACAATAAGACATATCAACATCTTATGACCCCTGAAAAGGCCACAACATCACTTCTGTGGAAGTCTTGTCAAAAATGTGTAAGACTGGGTGGCACCTGTGGCTCAGTGGGTAGGGTACTGGCCCCACATACCAAGGGTGGCGGGTTCAAACCCAGCCCCGGCCAAATTGCAACAGAAAACCAGCCGGGCATTGTGGCAGGCGCCTGTAGTCCCAGCTACTTGGGAGGCTGAGGCAAGAGAATCACCTGAGCCCACGATTTGGAGGTTGCTGTGAGCTGTGTGATGCCATAGCACTCTACCGAGGGTGATAAAGTGAGACTCTGTCTCTATTAAAAAAAAAAAAAATGCATAGACTAAGGCCAGGTGTGGTGTTTCATGCCTATAGTCCTAGCACTCTGGGAGGCCAAGGTGGGTGGATTCCTTGAGCTCAGGAGTTTGAGACCTGCCTAAGCAAAAGTGAGATCTCATCTCTACTAAAAATAGAAAAACTGGTCAGGCATTGTGTGGGGCATCTGCAGTTCCAGCTATTTGGGAGGCTGAGGCAAGAGAATTGTTTAAGCCCAAGAGTTTGAGGTTGCTGTGAGCTGTGATACCAAAGCACTCCACTGAGGGCGACGTAGTGAGACTCTGTCTCAGAAAAGAACTTTACATCAATACATTAGTTTGGGTACATTACTATGATTATAAAGATGTTAGCATTAGGGGATCTGGGGTGAAGGGTCAATGGATGGCTCTCTGTACTAATTTTACAACTTTTCTATAAGCCTAAAATTATCTGAAAATATTAATAACAAGTTAACAGAAAAAAAGAAGATTCTTACCTATGTAATGAGTGTTGTTAAATAAATTTTTAAAATTATCTGTAACAAGCCTGGCTAACTGCCATCTAAAACTGTATTAATGGGTCATATCACTTAAACCTCTCTAAAACGCACATGTAAAATGGAAATGACAATACCTCTTGCAAAGTTAATTCTTCTTTGAGGATTAGATGTAATTTTCTTTGTGACTGAGCAAGAAAATAGTAAAGCACAGTTAAGAGCACGTTATTTGGCACTAAACAGAATGGGGTTCTATGCCAGCTCTATCATTAGCTCTGTGCCCCTGAGCAAGTTATATAATCCTTCCATGCCTCCGTTTCCTCCTTTGTACAAAATGTAGGTAAATGTATAATTTAGTTTACAGGGGGACAGAAAGCTAGGATAAAATACATAATGAACAGAAAGCATTTGACTTCATGGCACCCAGTACAGAGTAAGAGTTTGATAAAGATTAAAGGTGTAAAACAATGAATGTTGAAGAGAGAGTCGCTATTACAAAATTTAATGAGCTTAGCACAAATATCCATTGCTAAGTATGATGATTCACATTCGTAATAACTGCACACAACTAAGAAAGAATAAAACTAAATTTGGAATATTCTCTTTCTAAAATAGAGGTATGTCCAGTAAATGTATAAAAGACTTTTCAACCAAAGCAAAGAAAGAAGATGAGTATTTAAAAAACACATTCTTAGCTATCAGGAAAATCTAGTAGTTTATAATCATTATGTTTTGGAACTCAGAGCCAGTAGAGCCATTTAAACAAGCAACGGCTTAGGACAAACAAGCTGGACAATACTACTGCAGACAAAGAAAAGTAATTCGATGGTAAAATAGTTTTATAAAGTTATGTGCCCTTATTTTATTTTATTAATATAACACCAATATATTAAAAATAGTTTCAATCATAAAAATATAAATTTTAACTCACACTGGTTTTTCGCCATCTATTATTAACACAGTTATACCAAGTATGGCCTCATTTTAATTGAGTAGTTCCCTAATGCATTCTAAATTTTACAATAAAACCATTAAATGAAAAGATAATTACAGATAATTACATAATACAACATTATAATGTAGTTCAGTAGAACCAATCTCAAAGCTACAATTCAGCTACAGTTAATATATGAAACTGTAACATAAAAATGCTACTAAGATCAAAAGATTTTAAATAGTAATCACCTGACTGCAACCATCCCTTGAAAATATATCACAAAAAAATTTCTCAAATGAGTTGCAAGAAAGTTTTCTACCAATTTCTATTACACCTGAGAATATTCTAAAGTCCATGTCTCATCTGTTAGCACTTTTCATACAGTGATTCAATACCCTTCACAGGTGTAACAAATAAAACTGCACACTTACCAACACCTTGGGGCCGACTTAACTTTATGGGACTAATTTCAACTTTTTGGACATGAGGTGGATATTCTTTCCTAGAAAAGGAAATTCATATAGTTTTATTCTAGCAGAAAATATAGTTTCAAAATGAAAAAGTTAAGGGGATACATACAATATGTTATTAAAAGCAAATTATAGCTTCTTTGCCATATAAAAAAATAGTATTATAAAATAGGAAAACTGTATTTTATAAATATATGAATGCTTAAATACATTACAGGGTCCCCAAGAGCAATGACTATATTTACAATATCAATCTATCAGACCCTACAAGTCAGACTGTTGAATAAATATTTAATAAATGAATCCAAATTATTGTCCTTTCAAAGTAGTTCACTTGGAAAGCTATACATATTTATTCCTCAGATGAATAACTCTTTAAAATTTTTCTTTTAGAACAGTCTTCATAATCAGTTGATAAAAACTGTTAAAAAACTCGTAATACTTCACTGTCAACATTTTTTATTTTGAATACAAAAATTCTCAGTTTAATAATACTCAATTTGTCCAATCTTACTGTAAATGTATTTAGTTGTTTAAAAATAAATCAATGAATGAATAAATGTTAATTAGGACTGTCTTGAAGATAATTCTAAAATTGTTATAAACCAGCAATCATGAAGCAATTATTTTAGTGCTGTGATATGACTGCAGTAGGGCAGGGATATGAGTGTTATTTGTTTTGAAATATTAAATTAGTCAAACTCACATAGAATTGAATTCAAGGATTTTAAAAATCTTTTAGTAACTAAGGGTCCTAAATACTATGTCTACATGAATCCAAATAGACACAAATTAAAAAAAAAAAAAAGTAAAAACCTTGTAGCTAATTATAAGATAAAAAGATTATATAATAATTGCAAAAAAGCAATAGAACTGAGAGCGACAGAAGCTAGGTATGTTCCAACCCTAAATAAAAGCTTCTAAAAGCATTCCCATTTTATTTAACCAAGGAATTAAAATTATTGGGGCCATTCTATTTGTAAAACTATTCATATTAGTGATCTGTATCTTCTTTACTAAAGTAATGCAACTTAGTTTAACAAAAATCCCAAAGAAATTTTCTTGTAAGAATTTCATATTCTTATAAAAGTAAAAAAAAAAATTAAAGCACTCAAAATGGAAACAAAATATGAAAATAACAAAAGAACAAAATAATGAGTGGTGATCAGAGTATACTTTAATAGCAGCTAGCAAATCTTAAATGTCATGTGCCATGTACTATTCCAAGTGCTTTTTATCTATTAACTCCTTTAATCCTCATAAACACCCCATACGTTAAATACTACTATTAGTACTTTGTAGATCAAGAAGGTGAGGCACAATTAGATTAATTTGCTTATTGTCACATAATCATTAAATGACAATCATAAAGTATGAATCTTAGCAAACTGCAATCAATATTGATGAGCAGACCAACATGTGGTACAAGTGGGCAGTTTCTACTTTCTAAAATTTTAAAATTTGTGAGGATACAAATTATGAAGATGAGCATTTGTCTTAGATGTGGTAGTAGTAATAGTCCTAACAAAAAAGGAAGTAGGAGCCAGGGAATGGTATGTACTTGTAATCCTAGCTACTTGGCAAGCTGAGGAGGAAGAAATCACTTGAGGCCAGAGATTGAGTCCGTCCAGCCTGGGCAACACAGTGAGAGCCCATCTCTTAAAAAAAGGAAATAGAGGGTAGGTTTTTGGCTAACTACACTTCATCAGGATTAAAATAAAATACATGAAAAAAAATAAATAAAATGCATGTTTTTATATTTCATACACTTTCACATTAGAGGACATAATATCATCTTTCTCTAAACTGAATTGATGATTTTTATTTTTTTTGCTGTTTTTGGCCGGGGCTAGGTTCAAATCCACCACCTCCAGCAAATGGGGCCGGTGCCCCACTCCCTGAGCCACAGGTGCCACCTTGAATTGATGATTTTTTAAACCCTAATTTTTGTAACTCTATACTTCAGAAAAATTAAAATGCCAACTTTAAAACAGAGGCAATAAACCTACAGCAAAATACGATACTATTGGGGTATACTCCCTAGACTTAGGGAGTGAGAGTGAGCTAAATTTCTTAAAATAACATGTATTTTTAAAACAGTAGACAACATACATTTTGAAATACTAAAGATTATTATCAACAAGGAGAATAACTACTTGACAGTTCGTTATAGGTGGCCATAAAATTCGGAAATACAAATTTTAGTTTCAGTTCAAACCTGCTTAATTACTTTTTCTGGGATAGTAAAAGCACAAGCATTCAGCAAACATAACTGACATAAATCATGTGAGATGGTAAATCATACATGTGTTGCAGGGACTGATGAGAATGATACATTAACTCAGTGTGTTCTTTGCAGTTTGACACAATGTATGGATTCATGCATTGTTAATAAGGGACAATGTGCTAAATGTGTCATGTAATAGCCACAACTTTGTAGTGTAATGTAACATTAAACTATAACATATACTTCTCTACACAGAACTTAACTATTTCATGTTTTATTTATTCATAGTATTTGCCCCCATCAGAATGTAAACTATAGAAGTGCAATGATCTTGTCTGTTTTGTTCATCACTGCATCCTCATGCCCACAGTGGTCAATAAACAAGTAAAAAAATAAGTAAAAATGTATACCCCAAAGGTAGTATGTATTCAGAAAAGTATTTATCATTTCAAACAAGTGCACAAATATTCAATGTCATTACCAAGGATGGTAATGCTGTCAAAACCGAACCACTGGCCACTATGTACAGCCAACACATAGTAAGCCAAAATGTTGTCACCCAAAGTGCAATTAAAACCAAGCATTTAAAAGGTACTATGAGTTGTTCTTATTTATTGGAGAGGTTTGTTAGACACTGAATACATCTGGACTTTCTAACTTGTTTACTATTGTACTAGTCTTCTCCTAGTGTTTCCATGTATTATCACCATTTTCTATATAGTAGGTTTTATTACATGGTAAGATGAGTCATTCTTCTCTTCCCTCATTTATCTTAGTTTAAAAAGGATAAGTCTGGCAGTGTCCATAGCTCAGTGGGTAGGGCACTGGCCACATACACCAAGGCTAACAGGTTCGAACCCAGCCTGGGCCAGCTAAAACAACAATGACAACTGCAACAACAACAACAAAATAGCCAGGCGTTGTGGTAGGCACCTCTAGTCCCAGCTACTTGGGAGGCTGAGGCAAGAGAAATCACTTAAGCCCAAGAGTTTGAGGTTGCTGTGAGCTGTGATGCCACAGCACTCTACCAAGGGCAACACAGTAAGACACTGTCTCAAAAAAAAAAAAAGAAAAAGAAAAAGAAAAAAAAGGGTAAGTTTGTTACTCTTCTCAAATATTTACTCTTCTAAATGAACTTTAGCATCAATTTGCTTTCTTAAAATAACAACTAACTCACTGAGACTCTGACTACAATTACATAAAATTCACTTTATCTTAAGGAGTTCTGGGATCAAATAACAAAATCTTACACCAACAAGGAATGCAATATATGCCTCAGATTAGATTCTTTAGATACATTTATAAGGGATTACTCATTATTAATTTTATTACTAGATATTTAATCGTGGGTGCTGTGAATATGTTGGCCTCTCTAATATGTATCTCGATTAGAGATCAATTATTATTTTTAAAAGTATTATTATTAGAGTTGTAGCCTGTCATCTTGTTCCACGCTTATTATTTCCAAAGGCTTAGACAACTCTTATTCCAAGGAAGATAGTATCATCTGAATATAATTTTATTTTCAGACAATTCAGATAGCAATTTAAGTTGTTATTATGAATGAGTTCCAACACTCTGAAAAACAATTTAGCAGCACTTATCAAAAGCATTAAAAACACTTGTAACTTTGGCAAAAAAGTCCTTTTCCGGAGATTTATTCTAAGAGATACAAACAAAGTTGTTCACTGATATGTTACATACAATAGTAAAAAACAACCAGAAATGGGCTAGTGAGTAAATAAGTCATGTATATCTGCAGGACAAGCTGTTACACAGTTGTTGAAATTTATTCTTTAGAAGCCAACTTAAGACATGGAAAAATGCTCAGGACATAATGTTAGGTGAAAATTCAGAATACACAGCTGTATTTTCATTATGACTTCACATATGTTAAGCGCATTAAAAATTACATAGAAAAAATCTGAAAAAAATGTAGGAAAATACTAACAATGTAATTTTCTATTATGAAACTTTAAAAAATTATAATATCTCTAACTATACTTGTCTTTTCACACACCCTGTAAGCATTTCTAAAATTTCATATTTTATTTTCATGTTATCATATTCATTTTATATTTCATGTTTATATTATATTCATATTATGTATTTTCATATTTTTATTATATTCTCACCTTTTTTTATTTTAAAATTCTCTAAAATATGTATATACTTTTTACAACAAAAAATAATACCTAACTTTTTAAAAAAGTTCAAAAGCCACTATGTGTTTCTATTTTATAATAGGTCCATATAGTCTTTATTTAGGAAGAGAAAAAAAAGGCAGTTCAAACACCAGATTAAATATATTCTAGGTAGATGGTACTATCGTACACACTGTTTATAACCCATCTGACCATGAGTCAGAAACAAATTCCAGTCATTCAAGCTGTCACTTACCCACAACACAGAATTGCTACAAATTTTTTAACTCTGAAGCTCTGTTTTAATATTGTTATTTATTTACTTATTCTAGCTGGGTTTTAAGCTTAAAACATACTTAATTCAATGTGCTTAGTATTTATAGCACAAGTGGAAAAAACCTGGAAAATAACCTTCTAAAACTGCCTAGCTTTTCTGAGACAGGTAATTCTTTAAACAATTTTTTCAGAGATTCACTGTCCCTCATGTGAGGAATAAAAAAAAAAAAAGAGCTATTACTCTTCAAAGATCAGTAAAAAGATGTGGTTTACCGTTCATTCTTAAGAGAGAGAAAAGGCTATGAGGAAAAAGAAAAAAAATTTTTTTTGAGACAGAGTCTTGCTTTGTCACCCTTGGTAGAGTGCCTTAGCGTCGTAGCTCACAACCACCTCAAACTCTTGGGCTTAAGCGATTCTCTTGCCTCAGCCTCCCAAGTAGCTAGGACTTCAGGTGCTCACCACAATACCCGGCTAATTTTTTTAGAGACTGTGTCTTGCTCTTGCTCAGGCTGGTCTCCTACCTATGAGCTCAGGCAATCTTCTAGCCTTGGCCTTCCAGAGTGCTAGGATTACAGACATTAAGTCACCATATCTGGCCAAAAAAATTCTTTTACTAAGTAAAATCTACTAATAATACAAATTCTTCTCAGCTGATCTTTGATAACATAAAGCTAAATTACCTACAATAATTTAGGTAAGGATCCAAAATATTATGGGCTAAGTTCAGCCTAACAGTAACTATGTTGCTAAATAAAGCACTCAGGTATAACACTTTCTGCATTTTAATTACTGTAACATAGAAGAAAAAATAAGTTTATTTGACTAAAACAAGAATCTGTTCCCCATGTGTGATTTTACAAAGAATTCTTTATATTTCTGGCAGTTTTATTTTAAAAATACTTTATGAATAAGCTTTGTTACTTGAGAGTTATAAATTAAAAATACATAGGCCAGGCACAGTGGCTCATGCCTGTCATCCTAGCACTCTGGGAGGATTACTTGAGTAATCCTCAAGTGGGTGGACTACTTGAGCTCAGGAGTTCCAGACCAGCCTCAGGAAGAGGGAGACCACGTCTCTACTAAAAATAAAAAAAACTAGCCAGACCTTGTGACAGGCACCTATAGTCCCACCTACTTGGGAGGCTGAGACAAGAGGATAGCTTGAGCCCAAGAGTTTGAGGTAACTGTGAGCTATGATGCCACAGCTCTCTATCCAGGGGCCAGGGTAAGACTGTTTTGAAAAAAAAAATCAAATAAATAAATAATAAAAACATAAAAAATGCCCCATCTATATCTGACAAGAAATAATGATTTACTTAAAGAAAAACACTGACATAATGGGAAAATACTTTTTTCCTAGGAAATAGGTAAGTAAAATATTTGTACAACCCATTCACTTAAAACATGTAAGACTTATAGTTTTTGACAATTATAAAATATGCTTATAAATCTTTGGCTAAAAGGACCATCTTGAAATTTGCATTTTAGAAACTTGGTGTTTATGAAGTAATGTGGAACATCTGTATTTTATAAAATATTGCAGGTTGTCCTCTTTACTTCCTTTATAGCTTTGAACAAAATCACAGAGTTGAAGTTAAAGAATTAAACAAAATTCTGGAATGCCCCTTCTTTTGACACTCACAGATTACATCAAAGTACTGCTTTACCACAAGCAGGATTAGCCCATTTGGAGGAAGAGTAAGGAGGCGTCTCCAGACTTCTGAGCACCTCTTCAAACCAAGAAAAATACAACAGGCACAGCAAAAGATGCTCTCCATACAAACTTTTAGAAAGAAACTGCTCTTATGGACACAGCTTCACAATTAAAACTGTTTCACTATTCAAAGGAATGTGCATTCGCAAAGAACTTTTTCATGACATTTATGTTATTCATATTTCTCCTAAAAGAAAATGTGTTTGTCCATGTTCTTACAAAAGGAACAAACAGCGATAGAAGAAGGTCTGTCAAAAATTCAGTCACGATTTTGGGGGTTGGAATAGAGTATTTTTGAGGTTTAAAGTTCTAACTTCATGCTTAAGGTGTTTAAATTCCACTTTTCTCCCTCACTCCAGTCTACTAACATGTAAAAACCAGAGTGTTATCACTAATGTATAAAAACTAAAATTCTGTGAGGTAACTGAAAGCAACTTTACTACTAAGGCATCAAAATACTCTATTTTTAAAGGAAAGTAGTCAAACATCAGAATATATAATAATCATTCATACAAAAATGTATATTGAGAAAGATATTAAAACACCACCAACCAAACATGTTATACTACTGACGAGTTTCTTTTTATTAGAGAGAATTGTTGGTATCAGAACAGGAAGGGGGGGGAGGGGAGAATAGGGAGAAGTTAGTTAAATACAAAATTATAGCTAGATAGGAGAAATGAATTCTCTGGTGTTTTATAGCACTGTAGGGTAAATAAGGTTAACTATAATTTACTACATACTTTCAAAAAACTAGAAGAGAGAATTTTGAAGTTTAATAAGGTGATGGCTAAGCTAATTACCCTGGTGTGATCATTAAACATTGTACACATGTACTGAAATATAACTCTGTATCCCATAAATATGCACAATTGTGTCAGATAAGGAAACATTTTTAATTGATAAGCTTTAATAAACTCCAATTCAATGGGTATTTTTCAAGGCACAGAAGTAATTTAATATTTAATTGCTATATCCATGCTCTAATTTCATCAATTGGTTTTAGCTTACCTTTCGTTTCGGTCCAGACTGTTTAAAACATGAAAAAGAAAAAAAATGTAAGAGGCAAGACCTCACTGTTGATATATCATTGTAGTTGCTGTAACTATAGTCAATATAGCAAAACTATAACGTGATCAATTTGTTTTAAACACATTTACATATATCACTTACTATGTTTTGAATTTTGTCTAAATTTTTTTCAATTTTGTCAACACAGTAATTTAAACAATCTTCTCAAATATTAACAGGAAGAAAGATGAATATAAATTACTACAAAAACTCTTGAAAGGGCTTTATTTAACTACCAAATATTTCGAGTTTAATGTAGTAGTCCTCCCCTTATCCTCAGGGAAACTTTCCAAGACACCAGTGAGTGCCCGAAACTGAGGATAGTACCAAATCAATACACTGGAAGGAAGCACTGGTGGAACCATTCCATAAGTAAGACAGCTGTTCCTCATGCTTTCTAGTTGACACTGCCAGAAAATGGGCAGATAATTTATTTTTATTTTTGAAGGTATTTGTGTTCTTTGCTCTGTACACTACGCTTCACTTTAACATAAGCCCTGCAGCATTCCCACATAGTACTAAGTTCATCTATCTATTCCTATTTTATGCCCTGATGCCTCTTTGCACTTGTATGAATTTGAATGTATTTCCCTTTCCTGAACATCATTCATGATCTTTGAAAAATTCAATGATGGCTCAGTGCCTGTAGCTCAAGCGGCTAAGGTGCCAGCCACATACACCAGACCTGGAGGGTTTGAATCTAGCCCAGGCCTGCCGAACAACAATGACAACTGCAACCAAAAAAACAGCTGGGCGTGCGTGGCACCTGTGGCTCAAAGGAGTAGAGCACCGGCCCTATATGCCAAAGGTGGTAGGTTCAAATCCAGCCCTGGCCAAAAACTACAAAAAAAAATACATATATAGCCAGGCGTTGTAGTGGGTGCCTGTAGTCCCAGCTACACGGGAGGCTGAGGCAAGAGAATCGCTTAAGCCCGAGGTTGCTGTGAGCTGTGACACCATAGCAGTCTACCCAGGGTGACAGCTTAAGACTCTATCTCAAAACAAACAAAAAAAAAGAAAAATTCAAGGATGTTATCACAGCAAACTTAGAAACTATCTCAGTATCTACTAATAGTTCCGGAATGGTTAAGTTAAAATATTTTTTAATATTTAATATTAAATATTAACTGCTGGTAACTGGAACTACAGAAATCAAAACCTTGAAGGCAGAAAGAGGACTACTGTAGATGTATGTAAACCGTTTTCAAGGAACAATAACATTCCTAAAGGTTACAAAGTTTTTAGTAATTCTAGTTGTAAGACCAGGTATGATTACTTGATCTTGAGTGAAAAAAAGTTTTAAGGCTAGAACTTTTATACTAAAATCTTAGATTAAATACAGTACATAATTTGGGACACAGGAAAGGCCTATAATTTAAAATCATGGTCCATTATCTCGTGACTAATGTATAAAGTTCTACCTTTCTCCACAGTTCATGGAAACTCCAGCAAGCTATCAGCATCAATTTTTCAAGAGTAAAATTATATAAGTCGTCAACTTAGGATTTATATAAAATAAATCTGTTGGCTGACCAAAAGAAAAAAAAAAAGCCATTGCATGGAGTGTCCTTTTCTACCTGGTACACTCAAAACCTCCTTTAATCTTTCCTTACTGATAACCGAATCAACCTCTATCCTTATTGAACTTGAACTTCAAAGAGAGGAATGCTGACGTATCTATCTTTGAATACTCTGCACCCAACTTATGCTTGGTATGTAGCACAAAAATCACTCAATGTCTTTGAAGGAAGAAAAAAAAAATTTTTTTTTTTTTGAGACAGAATTTCAAGCTGTCACCCTGGGTAGAGTGCCATAGCATCATAGCTAATAGCAACCTCCAACTCAGGTTCAAGCAATCCTCTTGCCTAAGTATTTCTATTTTTAGTAGAGACGAGGTCTCACTTTTGCTCCAGTGGGTCTTGAACTCGTGAGCTCAAGCAATTCACCCCACCTCAGCCTCCCAGAGTGCTAGGATTACAGGCAAGAGCCACCACGCCCAGTCAAAAATTTTAAAACTCTAAATCAGCGGTTCTCAACCTGTGGGTCGCGACCCCTTTGTAACAATGAAAATACACCACAGCATTAGGAAGGTTGAGAACCATGGCTCTAAATGAACCTGTCATTTGGCAACAAACGTTTTTAATGACAGAAGACCACAGCTGGAAAAAGTAATGTTTACTCTTGCACAGAATAAATATTTAAGTAGAATCTGTCCTGTTGACGTGACTCTTTATAGTCTTCTTTACTGCCCCTAATCATTCTTGTGAAATATTCCACTCAGGATTGTTTACTTACTCATTCAGAAACAGGGTTTCACCCTATTTAACCCAGGCTGGAATGCAGTGGCATGATCACAGCTCACCCTACTGCATCCTCAAAATCCCTAAACTCAAGTAATAATCCTGTCTCAGCCTCTCCAGCAGCTGGGACTACACAGTAATCCCCAGGTAATTCTTATTTTCTGTAGAGCTTTTGCTATGTTGCCCAGGCTGGTTTAGAACTCCTGCCTTAGCCTCCCAAAGGGTTAGGATTACAGGCATGAGCTGGATTGTTTCTTTTAAATATACATTAATTCAGGTTCCTGTTGTTGTTATTTAAATATACATTAATATTAATGTATTAATGTCAGGCTGTTATTTAAATATACATTAATTCAGGTTGTTGTTGTTATTTAAACATACATTAATATTGATGTATTAATGTCAGGTTGTTATTTAAATATACATTAATTCAGGGTGGCACCTGTGGCTCAAGGGGTAGGGTGCCAGCCCCATATGCCAGAGGTGGCAAGTTCAAACTGGCCAAGAACTACAAATAAATAAATAAATATACATTAATTCAGGTTGTTGTTGTTGTGTTTTGAGACAGAGTCTCATTCAATCACCCTGGGTAGAGTATATTGGTGTCCTACCTCACAGCACACTCAAACTCCTGGGTTCAAGTGATCCTCCTGCCTCACCCTCCCAAGTAGCTGGGACTAAAGGCACCCACCACAATGTCCAGCTAGTTTTTCTTTTTTATTTATTTATTTATTTTTTATTTATTTATTTATTTTTTTTGAGACGGAGCCTCAAGCTATCCCCCTGGGTAGAGTGCCATGGCATCACAGCTCACAGCAACCTC